TTTTTCTTCTGAACTTCTACATCTTTTAAAACAACTTGTATGTCTTTTTATCCAACAGATTAAAAACCATTTCTCTATTTCATTCATCATCTATAAGTATGTTAAGAATGTCAAGCTGTTGGAGCGCATTGGAGTAGCCAGGCCTGAAGAGGAGTTCCATGTCCCTTTAGATTCATATAGGTGGGTACTTCCTTGAATGTACTAAGCTATAGAAGGGTCATAATATATATATTTTAATTCTGTAATTTAAGGGTCCATATTCTAGGAAGAAATAATCTCATGTTCTTAATTATCTGAAGATCTGAAAAAGCCATTTGTAAGACGTAAAGGAATACATTCATATTATTACTGAGTTTACCAGATGAAAATTTCTTGTTGTATATTTGATGTTTTGGAATTTTCTGAGACTCATTTTTACTCAATTGCTTTGTATTTGAAATGACTTTTTTTTTTTTGGTCATTTTTTACAGAGTGTTTTTTTCCCAGAAGGTTCCTCCATGAGTTAGCTATGTTTCTTAACCTTTCTTGACCTTGTTTTTCTCACCTATAAAAATAGGAATAATAGTACTTACCTTGTAGAGTTATCAAGAAGATTTAATGAGATTCTTTTTCTTAAGTTCTCAATAAAAACTCCCCCCCCCCCTCTGTTTTCTTCTTCTGTAGATGTCAGTTGTTTATTCAGCCAGCTGGTATCTTGGAGAATCAGTACAAAGAATCCACCACCTACATTTCCTGGAAGGAAGAACTTCATAGGAGCAAGGAAGTCAGATGTGTGCTGCAGTGTCCATCAACAGAAGTCAACTTTTTACCTCTCATAGTCAATACAGTTGCTCTGCCTGATGAATTAAGCTTTATTTGCACACATGGGGAGGACTGGGATCCAGCTTACATCATTCATCTTTATCCCACTGTTACTTTGCGGAATTTTCTCCCATACGCTCTAACATATTTACTTGAGGTATGTTATTTGACTTTTATTATTGCATGGAGTGAATTCTAAGGGTTTTTTTTTTTTTAGGGTATTTTTAGTTGAGGTCAGGGTTTTACATCACATAC